ACCCACTACTTGTGGATCGGATTATTTGCGGATCGATCGATATCAATCCGCGAATTAACTACGGGGTCGTTTGGATGTGGAAATTTGAAAACGTTGGAATTTGTCTGAATTTCCATGTTTTAGAAAACCAAGGAATTGACTTGGGGAAATTGGGGGGGGGGGGGGGAAATCACGTTTGGATAGGGTTTAGTTTTGTGAGAATTGATGGTGTGAAATTTGGAAAAAGAAGTAAGAAAATGTGGTAATGTCAAATTACTAGGGGGAGGTGTAGTATTCTCAATTACCATGAATGTGGTAATTGAAGCCAATTTCCATGATCCAATTCCCATACCCTTTTTGCTCTTCCAAACGTGGATTTTTAACCCAATTACTGCATTATGTGGTAATTGAATCCAATTACTACATTACATTTCCACGTCCAAACGACGTGTTCATATGCAACCCCTACTTTTCATCAATAAATTCTCATTCCAGGCTTCCAACTATACGACTTGACTTACCTAATTTTCCTCCAACTCACATGGGCTGGCACTCTAGGCCCATTTCAATCTTCCCCAGACTAGTCGGCCCAATTCTTTGTTTCTTCCCCTACGTACTAACTCCAATCCAATTGTCTTCTTCTTAATAATTTTCAGCCTTGTAGTAGAGTTACTTTGCTGGTTTATGAACTAATTAATCAAGCCCCTAGTTTCAGCCTTAATCAACCAATCAATCAATTAATTAACTAGCACATGTACGATGAAGAAGAAAGTATATAAATATGACTTTACGTGTATACTTAAGCCAACCTGCCAGCTAATTATCACAAAAATGGGAGCAGCCATATGATTAAGCAAAGTCGTCGTATATTTACATGTGGAAAATATCCATACATACATAATTAAGCAGTGTCAACCCTAATTAATTAAGCTAGGTAAGCTTAATTGGATCCAGTAGTAGTTTCTAATCTGAATCGTTAAATGTCGCCCTAAAAATTGCTAAACATCGCCCTAACTTAAAAGTCAAATTACCTAAATACCCTTAATAAAAATTAAAAAATAGAACCAGCCAAACAACCCTTCCCCTTCACCCTCTTCCCACGCGAGACAACCCCCTCCCCTCTATGCAACTGAATCGCCGCCGGCAAACCACTCCCCTCTCTTCCCCCACCGGTCCTTCTTCCCGCCGCCGGCAAACCACTCCCCTCTCTGCAACTCCCTTCCCCCGCCGGTCCTGCTCCCGTCGTTGCCAGAGAAGAAGGCCGCGCCCCCGCCAGCCTCGCCGCCACCCTTGCGCCGGCAAACCACTCCTCTCTCTGTAACTCCCTTCCCCCGGCGGTCCTGCTCCCGTCGTTGCCGGAGAAGAAGGCCGCGCCCCCGCCAGCCTCGCCGCGCCCTCGCCAGCCTCGCCGCCGCCCGTGCCCGCCTCGCCGCCCGCGCCTCCCCGCCGGAGAAGAAGGTGAGAGGGAATCGCAGTCAAACCGCGGTCTGACCAGAGGCCGACCGCGGTCAACGCGCGGTTGAACCGACGGTCACTCGCGGTCCAACCAGCGGCTGACCGCGGTCAAAGGGCGGTTGACCGATGGTCAAACCGCGCTTTGACCGCGGTCAGCCGCTGGTTGGACCGCGGTTTACCGCGGTCGGCCTCTGGTCAGACCGCTTTTTTTTGTTTTTAAATTCTGTTTTTTATTTTTCAATAAATGTTAATAACAATAAAATTAATTAAAAAATATACTTAATAAAATAATTTAGTTATATATTTTGTCAATAATGATATAAAAATTTAGAAAACGTATTCGATAAATGTTAATTAATGATAACAAATTTAAAGAACATTATAAAAAAATTAAAAATTTATTTTTATCATTTTAATAATCAAAATTTAAAAGTAATTCGTTTATCTACTTAATTATTAATAATTTTATCTTGATTAATTATGTACTTTTATGTAAATAATGATTACATAGAACGTAACACAAAAGTTCAAACTATTAGTTTTACAATTTTAATAATGAAAATCTTAAATTAATTACTTTATGTACTCTATTAATAATAATCCATTATTAGTAATTCAAACTTTTTTTTGAAGATGTCTGGACATGGAATGGGTAAACCGGATATGATTAAGGCGAGAAATAAGGAGAGAATGGAAGGTCGTGCTTGTAGACTTACGGCGACTGGTAGGAAGGAAAATGAAGAAAAAAATCCACCTAAGGTTAGAAGGAAGAAGAAGAAGAAGGCGGATGTAGTGCGTCCTGACGGCCACCCTACTGTGGGGCAGTTGTCTCTTAGTCGAGGTACTACCAGTACTCCTACACCAGAGAGCGCACCGGTATGGCAGGCTAATTGGAGTGATTCCATTTGCACCTTTTCTGTCATTCACTGCCTTGTGGATATTCCTTGGTGGGACACCGGCTGATCTCAGCTCTCTTATGTATTGCTTGTCCTCTGTAGTCAAAACATTCCTTCCCTTTGATCCCTCCGGAAATAGCTCCAACTGATGATTGTGGAAACCCAAATTAGCACCAGGATTCTTTGTATTTGCCACCCCTAGGATCAACCAATATCCATCACCTGACCGCTCAAGCTTGATCTGAAACTCGCACCCCAACTTTTCAGTAGATGTAAGAGGCCTTGTTTCCTTACTCGGATCAGGTTTCTTCGACTTCTTCTTCCTACCATGAGTGCAATGTAAGTAATGTCGCCAAGTACCTTCATTCTTATTTTTTTTGTTCGATGCCCTCACCAAATAAAACCCAAAACCCTTTGCAATCTCAGTGGCTGCTTCATATGCTTGCAACTCCGTAGTGTATTTCACGCCATCAATGAAATCCGAGGTGTAATCATGGCCATCCGGATTGTAACTTCCAATATCCTGCAATGTTATCAGTATTAAATTTAAGGGTGTGCCTACGGTGACATGCATGTCACGGTGACTTGCACTTTTCGGTCGACCTCAGTTAGGATTAGGTCGACCTCACATAGAATTCGGTCGACCTCATATAGGATCCGGTCGACCTCATTTAGGATTCGGTCGACCTCATATAGGATCCGGTCGACCTAATATGTTGTTTCAGTGTAAAAACAGTTCATGGTGCCTACTTTGGATATTCATATCATACAATTGGCTAGATGGAAATTGAAGACTAATGACTTGTTTTGAAGCTGGAGTGTCCCTCTACATATTGAAGTGATTGAGAGCTCGATAGGAAGTCCAGAAGACCATTTTTGAACCTCATCAAAAGGCTATGCCAAAACTGGGAAACTGCCTAGAAATGGCTTAAGTCTGGAAACGTGTTTGTGAAGCCTATTTTTGAGCTCAATTCGAGAAGCATGAATGCGAGTCGAGTCCAGGAGCCTCTACCACGTTAAATTAGGTATGTTTTTATACAAATTCAAGGAATTGGATGAAAGATTGGATATCTTTAAGGCTTCAAACAAAAGGGTCGAAGTTGCTACGAAGGCTGTTTTTCTGGCAGACTTCGAGCACAAGCAAGCTGCCAGAAAAACAGCCTTCGTAGCAACTTCGAGCCTTTTGTTTGAAGCCTTAAAGATATTCAATCTTTCATTCAATGCCTTGCCTTTGTATAAAAAAATACATAATTTAACGTGGTAAAGGCCCCTGGACTTGACTCACATCCATGCTTGTCAAATTGAGCTCCAAAGTAGGCTTGACAAACACGTTGCCAGACTTAGCCATTTTCAGGCAGTTTCCCAGTTTTGGCATAGCCTTTTGGTCAGGTTCAAAAATGGTCTTCTGGACTTTCTATTGAGCTCCCAAGTACTTTAATGTGTAGAGGGACACTTCAGCTTCAAAACAAGCCTTTAATCTCCAATTCCATCTAGCCAATTGTAAGATATGAATCTCCAAAGTAGGCACCATGAAACTGTTTGTACACTGAAACAACTGATTAGGTCGACTTGATCCTATATGAGGTCGACCGAAAAGTGCATGTCACCATAGCAAAGTCCTAAATTTAATAATCATCATAACTTCATATGCCAATCTATTATTTATGCAATAAATTTAATCTTAATTTGTAATGCAAAATCTAATCTTAATTTTCTAGATTAACACCAAATTAAATCTAATCTTAATTTAAGGCCAAATCTAATCTTAATTTCTAATGCTAAATCCTTCAATTCCAAAAATAATTATGCAATAAATTATTATTTATGCAATAAATTTAATCTTAATTTGTAATGCAAAATCTAATCTTAATTTTCTAGATTAACACCAAATTAAATCTAATCTTAATTTAAGGCCAAATCTAATCTTAATTTCTAATGCTAAATCCTTCAATTCCAAAAAAAATTATGCAAATAAATCTAAAAAATTATATAAATCAAAACCCAACAAATTATTTCATGGAACAAATCATAAATCATATAAAAAATAGAAAATTATTCAACGAAAAAAAAAACCCCAAAAATGCCCAACCGCAAGGGACCTGCGGTTGGACCATGGCCGGACCGCAAATCACCTGCGGTTCCCATTTTCTGTGTTTTTTTTTTTCAGTTCATGTTTTTACCTCGTCGGAGTCGCTACTCATGATTCAGACGTCCTACCGACGATATCGGCTTCAAAATGACGATGAGAGATTTTTCTCTCCTTAGATAGTGTTTTTTTAGTCCAAGTGATGTTTGTTTGAGAAAGAGAAGGTAAAGAAGCTATGGGGGTTAAAAGTGTAACTTTTATTCTTTTTAGAGCGACCTTTAGCAATTTTAAGGGCGACCTTTAGCAACTCCCATTCTAATCAGCCAGCGGCCATGCGAATGTGTTTTTCTTCCTATTCTCTCTTCAGAGTCAGACACTAATTTGGAATACACTACGCGATAAGCAAGTGCATTATTAGTGTATGATGTAATCTACACAATGACACCCTATGACCCTAATTCATCTTAGTTAAGGGAATGATGGCGTCGCCAATGTTGAGCCCTAGCAAGCTGAAAATAATTTGAGAGCAAGCATGGGCCAGCAAGGACAGCTACAGGCCTACAGCAACGTTGTACGTTTTACTTTTACAGCAAGGCAGTATAGACGCGTTCCCCATCATCGACGGGCGACGTGGACAAGCCAGCGAAAACCTTGAGCGCATCTTCCTTCAACCTGGAGACGGAGCAATAGAGGAGGAAGTCGGCGTAGGCGAATGGGCGGTACAGCAGCGGGTGGTCTTTGTCCACCAACTCCGCCGGCGCCTCGATGGTGGCGTCATCCTTGGGCATCAAGAAACTGCCCCACGAGTAGCGCTCCTTCTCCCCTCGGAGCACCACCCGGTGCCGAACCGAGTGGACCCGCCCGTTGCTCCAGGCCTCGAGCGCGTCCCCAACGATGGCCACGAACGCGCCCTCGGGGATGATTACGGGGGCCCAGCTGTCGTCGTGTTTGGGCTGGACCTCGAGGCCCTGGACGTCGTTCTGGCCCAGGATGGTGACGGTGCTCTTGTCGGTGTGGGCCACCATCCCGATCCCGGCGGCGGCGGGAGGGACGTTGTACTTCATGAGTCGGAAGTAGCTGGTGGGGGATAGGGTAGTAACGAGGCCGTAGTTGGCGAGTAGCATTTTCATGATGAGGAGGTTCATGTCCACCATCTTGCCCCTCATCTCGCTCGCTGATTCGCTGTTATGCGTACGTGTATATATATATAGACCACAGGGAAAATTGAAGTCGTAGTTAGAACGATATTCGTCATCAAAACGATCACTCCAGTTGTTGAGAGAGTATCAATATAGGATAGTTTAGTTGCGTTGAATATATGTTAATAAAAAATAAAAAAATACTATTGTACGTGATGCTAACGTATTGCAAGTTGATTATATGAGGGATTGGAATGGGTTACCGGAAAGAAGGGTTGCCTTGGGGCCACATGACGGCAGTAAAAGCCTGGAGCGCGTCATCGTTAACGTCGGGAGCATGGTCGTCGATGCCGAAGCTCTCGAGGTAAGGGACGGCGTCTTTCTTGCCCAGGTAGCTCCGGTACGGCTTAGGGTTGACGTGCCTCTCCTTGGTCTCCACGGGGAGGTCGAACAGATGGCGGAGCCCTTCCGCCATCCCTTCCCTCAGCTTGGCGGGGACCTTCTCCGTCGTGAAGCAGAAGCAGCCATGTGTCTCGCACGCCTGCCGAACCTTGTCGCACAGATCCCTCCACCGCGCCCCGCCGTCGGCGGTGGTGATCTCTTCTTCCCCGGCGGCGCCGAAGTCGAAGAAGGGGATTTCGTAGGGCTTCTCATCACCACCGTTAGCTGGAACCACCATGGTTTTGTTTTGTTTCTTGGGAGTGAAATTGTGGTGTTTGTGAGAGAGAGAGAGAGAGAAAAAGGTGTGGGTTTATATACGAAGGGTCAAGGGTGTCTGTCCAGTCCACTTCAGATACGTCCAAAAGTTTGGGTATAGAATAGAAGAGAGAGTTTACTTTGGGAGGCTATAAATGGAAAAGGAAGAAAGCTAATATTTAGTGGAGGCGACAAACCCTGGTGGTATCCTACATAAACTAGTGTAATTATCTTTTTAAAAAATATTATTATTATTTCTAACTCATCCTCAACACTACATGGCCTTCAATTCTCACTTAGCTTAGTTTATTGGGGATGAATTGGTTCTTCCTCTGATATTAGAGTTTTTGACAGTAACTTTGTGTGATTGAATCTCGGTAATTAACTATAGTAGTATTAATGTAATGATTGATGCATGAATAATGAAGCGTGCAAGTGAATGATATATGCATAAAAATAATTTATGTTTGGATGAATTATTCATATTATGATGATGCATGCAATGATCACCTAATATTGCTATGACGAATATGCTCACATATATTACTTGATAATGAGCTAATCTGATAAGGATGTACAAATACAATTAATACCTCTTTGGTCAAAGGTTATAATGCGTATCATGCTGATTGGTTTTACTCGATCGACCAATCTAGGGCAACGGAAAACTGATATGAAAGAAACACAACATGCGTACAATTAGGGCTGGCTATTTGGTTCGAGCTGTTTGGTTTTACTCGAAACCAGACCGTATAAAATCAAATCGGAATCGGATAGCAAACAATCCAATTTAATTTTTCGGGCTTAGATTTGAGGTAAAAAATCGTTTGGGACCGGATCGAAAAACCAGATAAAGGCCGGATAAAAGAGCCCAACACCCAAAACTTAACCAACTTCTCATCCTTTGAGTCATCGGGCAACTAAAATTCCCATAAGTTCAATCTAAAATCAAGACCAAATTAGGACCGGACCAGATCAAGACCGGATCGGACTGTATCCAATCCAATTTTTAGTCCTTATATTCTCGAAAAGACGAACTAAGACTGGATCAATTCAGATCAATTTAACCGGACCGGACCGTATAGCGACCCCTACATACAATGCACCTAGAAGAAAAAAAAAGTGGGTCAAAATATATGTTTGATCTTACGATCACCATAATTGAGACATGGAGGGGGGAAAATACATGTTGTGAAAAAAAAAAAACTGCATGTTTGTGAATGGTGGAAGATGTTTCTATTTTTTAACGATAAAACAAACGTAAAATAGTTGATAATTGAAAAATAGAGGTAATAGATGGATAAATTGAGTCCAATTACTGATAAAAATGAAGTCTTACACTTTTTAAAAATATTATTGGGTGAAGATTTGAGTTAAGACTAGGGGTGTGTAATGGTCCGGACCGCACCGGATCGAGTATAACATGGTCTAGTACTTGGTCCCATTGAATTTTACAAGTAATGAAGAAATGATGGACCGAGCTGATATTTGGAGGGGCCGGACAGAACCGAATCAAATGGACCGTATGCAATGTTTGGTCCATTCCTTGGTCCTAAGATATCTTTTACTAATGGACCGCAGTTCTCATGAGTTTGGTCCGGTCTGGTCCGGACCGAACCGAACCGTTGCACACATGACCTAGTTAAGACAAGTCAAAATAGGGGGAAATAAAACCGATAACGAGACAAATGAAGGTATCCTATTAATAAATAAGAATAGGATGGAAATTGATGTCTTATTACTGAAAACACAAAGGGTATAGAAATTATTTACAATAATCGACTCTCATAATAACCATAACAAGCTAATACGAAAATTACATCACTTTTACGAATCCAATAAAGAATTATACTCTGTCAAATTACGTAACAATACTCGTAGTACTCATACTCCAATAAAAAACGGGACGAAAGTAGTACCATGCCTTGCCCGATGCTAATACAGATGAGGTAGGTATTATTACCCGCCCAACATAGATCAGATCGGATAATACCCAATAGAAGCGTTCAAATTGTCGATCATTACTTGCCAAAGAAATGAAAGAAAACGTTATCACTTATTACCGACAACATCGTAATCATAGAAGCCATTTGTCGATCGAAGGGAATAGTACAAAATTCATTCTTGGCGTCTCCCAACAGCCAACAAAAGGGCTCATGATTAACCACTAATAGAGTGCGGCACATGATCCTTGTAATTAGCTTTCTCTTTGTAATAGTTTGTTTAACATCCATTGTAGTACTTAACAATATTCAGCCAACTGACTGAACTGAGTTTGCTGTGGACGTACGGCACCAAACAGATTTGTGCTTCCCCGCCGGTGGAATCATGCACACTCCGACCGGTTTCCGGTTGGCATATAGTTGCTCTATCTCTCGCGCCACCACCTGCCCGCAAATGCAAGCGGCTGCCGCCTGATTCATAGAACTAGGTTCCGAATAACTTGTTCCCATTGATTTGTAGTTTCGCATCTATAATTTGCCAAGAGGAATATATCTACTTACCTGTCTGTCTTTGACAGCCATTCATCGTATCCTGTGTGGATTGATGGTCGAGCGCGAGACCAATGCTTCTTCGATGCTTAGATTGAGGACCTGCAAACCCTAATCGACGATTTTGCTCGAGCAAGTGAAGAATGAGTTTGATCTAGAATTGATTTTTCTTAGTTTTGATAAAACGACAAAGTAATTCGTATGACAGCAGAAACAAATAAAATATGGGCTATCGTTTTAACTTAGATAATACTGGGCTTTGGCCCAAGGTTTTTATTTCAAGCCAAATAACAGTAGGCCTGCTTTCTCAAAAGCAGCCCACGTTTTACCTTCTTCTTCCTTCGTGTGGTGAGAACTTCCTGAAGCAAAGCTTCCTTGTACCTGGACAGCTGCTGCAACAACAGAGTAGCAAGCTAAGCACGAAACAGAAAATACACACACACTGCACAGACCTTTTTACGTGGTATCCGATATTGGGAGAAGAAGAATCCCAATATCGACTAATCCACGGTAGGAATCTCTCCTCTTGAGGATTCCTACGTAACTACTAGAACTCTGTCCTGGTTCCTGTTTTACACACTCAGAGTTTGATTAGAACAGCTCTCTGCCTATCAATCAAACGTTCCTACTGAAGCACGATCTCCCTGATCACCCTCAGTACTAACAGCTATTCTCCCTGATTAGCTTCACTGATGTTTTTCGCTCAAAAAGCTATTTCACTCAGTAACCTAGTACTCTGCTTTTTGATCTCTATGAAAAACCTTAGCCTTCAGTTTGGTTGTCTCGTGCCTTTTATTGCATCTCTTCAAGCTAGCCGTTGCAGGACATTGATTTTGATTTCCCACGAATCTGCTCCAGCTTTCCATTCTTGAAACCTTCCATTTCAGTCTTGGTTGATTGATTCTTTCCCATTTGACGAGCTTCACTCAACATGCTCCCCCTAAGCTTGTCAATGGCTCTTCCTGCTGTATGTGATTTCTCCTGCACACACTCATCAAACAGTTGGTGCAGCCTGTTCTATGTATGGTACAAACATTCATGACAGGGAAGGCTTCTTTTATTGAACTTATTGAAATTCATCCATCATCACATCAACCAACAAGCAAAAGAGAGACTGCATACTTAACAAGACCACGACTGACTTAACAACTGATTTATCATCATACTAGAATCCTAATTAGACACCTGAAGCTCCCCCTAAGTAGAGTCATTTGCTTCCTAGAAGCGATAGCCAGGAGGTGACTCATAGTCTGAGATCTCCTCATCAGAGCTGGAGTCAGATGAAATTGGATCAAAATCATCCGGAGCAGGCTTTGCCTCATCAAAATCCATGAGCTCCAGTCGCTCTTTGCAGACCAACAGGTTTGTAGTATTTCCAGTGCCAGCTTCTTTTCGACGCCTGACTTCCTTGTCTATGGCTGAGGCTGCAGCCTGAGTTAAGGCTGGAAGCAGCTTGTCAGAGAGAGGATCAGAACAGGAGAACGCTGAGCAGCAGGTTATTTCTCCCCCTGAGCCAGTGACGAGCTTACGACGGCCCACATCAGCATCCAGGCGAACAAGGACATGGTTGGGGCGCAAGTCGTCATGGACATTGCAAACAGCCACTTTATCCCGGAGATCTATGCCAAGGCGGTGCAGGTAACGAGTGATGAGGGGCCCAAAGGGCAGAGCACCATTGTAGCCTCCACCGCCAAACTTGAGAATGTGAGCAAACATTAAGGATGCATAGCTGATGGGTTTACGCGCACGGGCATTGCTCAGAATCCAGAGATCATCCGAGTGGAGGAGGCCAGCACTATCAACATCTCGGGGAAGGAAACAACGAGTGATGAAGAAGTGAAGAATTTTGAGATCATCAGGGAGACGACCAGCAGAAAGCCGAGTTGGAAAGGCTTTGCCAATATCCCTGGTCAGGAGATCAAGTGCAGCAAGAAAATCGAACCCATGATCAACAAAGTCACTTTCATAACTTGCATGGATCCCTGAGTGAGGAAGAGAGAGAACCGATGCAAGCAAGTCAGGAGTGACTGAAATTTCATGATCATAAACCATGGATGTGAAGGAAGTGGGTTCAGGACCACGATCACGACGAATATTCACATAGAATAGTCGCACGGCTTCAGGACAATGGAGGAAGCGTTGATCCTCAGTCAACGATTCCCACCCCAATCCAGCAATGAGGGAGGGAATATCCATGTCGTACTTGTTGAAGGCCGAAGGAGGGATGGTGAATGAAGGATAGATAGGTCTATCACGAAAACATCGAAGATACCTCGAGTAAACAATGGCATTGCGAAAGCCTTGGTTTTTGAAAACCACGACAGGTCGGAGCTGGGCGTTGTTGAAAGCCATTGTGTGACAGGGAAATGTTTTGGAGAGTGTTTGAGAGAGTGAGATCGAACCCTAGGGGTGCTCTAGATAAATAGGAGTAAAAAAAATGAATGAGGTAAGTGAATCATCCGCGTTAATATGCCAGCAAGGAACTGCTAATTAACCGTGATGGAGAGAGAATTAGAGTTTCTGTGGAAAGAATTGATAGGGAATCGAGGGGTCACAGAATCCTA